CATAAGCATTCCACATACTTATGAGAGCCCTGTTCCACCGCAAGAGAAATATGACTCAAGAAAATAGCGAATAATTATCACACAGCTACTAATTAAATGGTGACTAATAATCGTATTAATAATAACAATAATAATAATAATAATCATAATGAGGATGATAACTGAAGTACTTGTAATGATAACTTCTAGGGGCGAGCTCAAGAACCTCGCTGTTTCTCTGTCGGTTTATCCCTGGGCTCCAATGATGATTAAACTAGCCTTCTTTTAATTTTGATTTGCTTGTACATTATAAATCATTTTCTCGTTTCATTGTATTTCCATTTTTGTGAAACTTTCATTTTATACAACAAGGCATTCCGCGTTGTAGAATATTCCCCCATTCCGCCATTCCATCGTTCCATCATTCCATCGAATAGCGTCATCCTGTTTAGCTCAACGTCGTTGCTCGCTTCGCAAATCTAGCGGCTCTTCTGAGCATTTGTCGTTGATTGAAATGGTAAAATTACCTTTTTTAGAATAAATAAAATTTGTCTTCAAAGTTTCCACGATGTGTAGATCAAACCTATTTAGATAGTTCTGCGAGGAAAAAGTCTTTATTTCTATTACGTGCCGAGACGCCACTGTGAACTATTTTGAGATGTTTATCATCTACCGTAGAGTCACAGTTAGAACAGAAAAATTAAATCTTCGGATCTACTGGGAATAATTCGCTGATTCAAACGTTAAAATGATCCCTCTTGAACGAAAACAATTTTCCTCTAAATTTTCATGATACGCCGATCACTCCTTTTGAGACATTTCTGCAAGGTAGAGCTTTCTTTTCTCACGCGCCATTCTGAAATGATTGTGAGATGTTTATCGTCTTCTGTAGCCACTACGAAACAAACAATTGGCAGGTGACCACTCTGTGAAACATTCGAAGCGATTCGAAGAAATCGTCACTAGGCGTTGAACGACCGAAGATGTTCAGAAACAAACGAAAGCCAAGAGCGAGGAATATCGGGTAAAACTCGCCGACTTCGTTGTGAACGAATAGGTCGTTTGTAGTCTATTGTTACACTCACTCACTCTTCAGGACAACATTGTGGTCTCGCTTTCATAGGAGGCAGTAGTCAAAAATAATTAAATTCCCTTGGTTTAGATCTTCTCGAAGGTAACAAAACGAACATGATTTAACTCGACCGAATAAAAACACATCAGCCGATGATGAAATTTAAAACCAAAGTAAAAATAGCGGCAATGACTGAGAATTCCGAGAAATACCGGAAGTGAGTTATCACTGTAAGGAAACGCGAGGCAATTTTTACCTAGGAAAGAGCCTTGCTTTTGGTTAGCTCTCAGTTGAGACTCATTATTGAGCCATAAAATAAGTAGGAAATAGATCAGTATTTGGTTTATTGATATCTCAGTGAAAACAACGAGGCTTTCACCTTACATTTCCCAGGCCCAGTCGTAATCATTCATAGAGTAGCCAACGTTCAGCTTCAAATTCAAGATAACAAAGGCTTTATTTGTGATCGATACTATGATGCACATGCATAATTGAGAAAAATCTAAGGAACTGCACATCTAAAGCGAACATTAAACAACGAACATTAAACAACGAACGTTAAACATTTCTTGTTTACTTAAAGAGCTACCCGCAGACTCCAAAGTCCAACTAAGCGAAGTTAAGTGTTTCTGAGCAAATTTAAGTTTCCTGTTTTCCTATCTAGTTATCCTAGCTATCCAAGGTCCTTTAACAATAAAACAACTTCTGTAATTCTTGTAAAAAGGGATTGCATTTGGTTCCTTTAAAGAATAACAAGTGCGGATACATGCTTAATCAAAAACGTTTGACAAAGATGAAAACACCTTTGAGATTAAGAATCCTCAACGAAGTCACTAGTTGCACTTCCTTCATCGATATAAAAGTTAGAAGTAGTTCAGATTATTAGCGCACTCCTTCCTGTATATCTTGGCGACTGGTAGAGTGAATACTTCCAAATTTGGTTTCTGGTGAGCTTTATGAGCTTTAAAACATCCAGTCGGCTGGTAATAGCCTCGGACGGTCCACAGTGACACATCTCGCTGTGCTCCAGAGCCCTTATCGGTCCACAAAGCGGGGGAAGACAGCTCAGCATGGGCAGAAAGCAAATCTTTTCGGATGCAGGCATACTTAGCGGTAAATTCAGAGGTAGGCTGAGACCAGTTATTGCATGCCACATCACCCAAGGCCGCAAAGCCTGGAGGAGCATGCACTCGCCAAAAGGAGCCATCTTGTCGACCCCCTGACCCCTTGTCGGTCCAGATTTCCTCGTAGGAGCATGGAGGTTTGATAATCTCGCCAAGATGGTCGTACTTGAACAAGGGCTTCACCAGAACCACAGCGTGTAGAGGAAAGGAAGACGTATGCGCTCCAAATGCAACATCCCCGATCATATAAACACCTTGAGGGATGGAATCCAGTCGAGCCCTCCACACATTTATGTTTTGGTGCGCTCCTGTTCCCTCGTCCCCATAAATTTTTTCCACTGAAACTGGTGCCATAACTTCAAAAATTGCCTGCTGATTCATTGTAACGTTTCTTTGTCAACGTTTTACAAAATAACAGTACACTTCGCTTATGACTAATTCGAAGTTGTTTGCTTAGTTGCCAGGCCTTTAATTTGGAGTGAGGCTGAAGGTGACCCTGATATACGTGTAGAGGCCAGTATTTAGTTAGCATGATAACAAGGTAATTTACATTGGAAATAGGGTAAGAGAGATGCTAAGTTTTTAGCTCGGTAAAGAAATAGAGAAAGGTGTTTTTCGTCTTTTCACGAGCGTGGGACAAAGAAAATAATTCTGAGTCCCCATGATGAATCGAACCCCAGACCTGCGATGCTTTACTACTGAGCCACATATCGACTTTGCTGATCTTAGCTGTATGCAGGACGCGTGTCATATGACCGTCTGTGGCTCAGTGGTCGAGTATCGGAGCGCGGAATCCGGAATCCGGAATCTGGAATCTGGAATCTGAGGTTCGATTCCTCATGGGAACTTATTGTAAACAATCTATGTAAGACGTATTTTTTCGCAGGTTCTAAGCAAAGTTCAACGTTTCTAAGGCCGAGATTTATGCAAATTGATGTTCTCAAATTTACCCACTTTGAGTTAGTTTACATTGTCGTACTTTTTCTTACACTTTGCACGGCGGCGTAGTTATAATGAAGTCGTCCCTAAACTTGGCCGTGCTGGCTGTAGTTTTTCTTGGTTGTGTATATGGTGGAGTTGCCGTTAAAAAACCGAGGGAAATGTGTGAAGAAAGGAAGAACCAGAGCCACACAAGATATTTGTGACGATAGTAGGTCCATGTTTACAGCGAACAATAGATTTTGCAGCAAGGGTAGAAGAGGGGTTCTTTCATTTTCCTTCGTCACCGAAACGAAGCATCCCCGTTAAAAAACAGTTCGGACATCTCACAATCAAATTCGACCAAGGTCTAATCTTTAAACCTTTTCATCCTCACTTTGCGCTAGACACACGTCAGGAAATCCCTGTCATTGTTCTCAGACTCTCGTGCATCCGCAGCCCCACTCCCGTTTAAAGGCTTGGCAACTAAGCATGGACTATTCTGGCGTCCGAATGAATGTGTCAGGTCCCGCAGAAGGCAATTTATTATTTTTGTTGTTGAAAGGCGAAAAGCAGAGTCAAAAAATCTCTCATTTATTTTTGAATAATAAATAAAATCATTGTCTTCTTGTCTTGGTGTGCTCCTTTTCCTTCCTCTCCATGAATTTTTTCCCGAAAAATGTCGGGTTTATTTAAAAAAACTGGCCAATATGTCAGTATTTTGCCTGTGCAAGTCAATTCAGCAATTTACCCTCTTACTCACACGAGAATCAATCAATCAGCGCGGTATGTACATGTCTAAAAGCTGGTACACGAAAATATTGGAACAACAGAACACAGGAAAAAAGGAACACCGGAACACTGGAACACGCCAGAATACCGTAACACGAGAACACCGAAACACGCTGGAATACCGGAATATCCCGCAACACCGAAACTTTCTGAAACACTGCAGAATATTAAAAAAAAATGACTATAATGAAAAAAATAGTTGAAAGGATTTTAAAAAATCTGTTAGGGATATTGAATGAGGACAAAAGAACTAAGATCATCCGAGCAAATTGCCATATTGAAGTCTCCCCATAGATTCATGACTGAGGAAAAAAATTAAAACAAGAAGTATCCAAAAAGAGGAGGTACCTTCCAAACGGAGAGGGTTGAGGGCGAGTGTTTGTGAAAGTTCTCAGAGAAATTGGCGCCCAGGCCCTACAATCCTGTCTCCAAACTCCTCCCTGTTTGGCGCAAAGTACCTCTTATGGCCAAGTTAAGGAGTGTCCGTGCCCTTTCCCCCCACCTCCCGCCGGAATTTTCCTGTAGTTGGTCATTGTGCTTGCGGTCGCTCGACCGAATAGTGCAATTTTCGTAACTTGAAATGACGACAAAACAAATGTTGTGAATGAATGCCAGCACCTGGAGTTCATCGTTTTGGTTTGCACGAGTATTAGTTAGTTGGCCTGCTAATAAAATGGAGATCTGGCTTCAAAGGTAGAGACAATGGTTAAGTATGAAAACTGTGCAGGAGATTGCTTTGACCCCTTGTTACCAACACCCCGTGTGGGATGTAACAGGACCTGTAATAGGCGAAGAGGTAATAGCATTCCAGATAAATTTTGGGAGAGGAAAATTTTTGTTGTTCTCTGAAATTGGGCTTTAGAAACGACAGTGTAGTCGTTCTAAAAGCGCTAAAGGAAAGCACTCTCAAGACTCCAAAGTCTCCACATCTCTTTCTATCAAAATTGTGTTGTTTTCTTTTCCCAGGATTAAGAATCAACAACTCTGCGGAAAGACAGGAAGAGGTGAATCACTCACGCACCTTTTCGATCCCCTTCCAACCGGGAATGCTCTAAATGGATTGGGCTATATTCTCGTTCCCATTTCCCCGCGCGCTAATCCGCCATATTGCCTCTTTCTTGAAATTGGTTATAATGTGGCTACGTGTTGCTGTAGGTGTCACATGCGGAGCTTTGGTGTGTCTGAAGGCCATACCACATATTTTCCCACAGCTCTATTATAAAAGAATAAAGGAACTCAAAATCGATGGAAGGGAAATGGAGATTCCCCCACGTTGCAGAGAACAACTCGCAGGAATTTCTCAAAAACTTGGGATGAGTGATAAACAAGATAAGATATCCTTCTTCGTGTGCAGGTCTCTTTATCCCAGTTCTTCTGGGGCTACATGGCTTCCCAATGGCGCAGTTATTGGAGTTCCTTTATCATTCTATTTTAAGCACGAGGATGATCTTGGGAGGTTTGGTGAAATCTGTTTCCAGGACGGCAAGGTTCCTATGCTGTTGCAGAGCAGGTTTGGCCAAAAATTTATCCATACACAGCTTTCGTCGGACGATAACATAGCATTCTGTATTGGTCGTGAACTGGTTCATCTAAGTAGTTCTTTTGATATCGCGTCTGACGTTTTCTTTGCCCCATCATGGCTGATTGCAACGTACGCAATATCAAGAAGGACACGAATCGTTATACCCAGAGCTTCAGCTCTTGTGGACGGCATTGTCAAAGTCACGTTATATTTGCTTAGCTTTGCTTGTTTTTGGCCAGTAGAGCGTCGCCTTAACCATTACAGAGAATTCAAGGCAGATGAAATGTCTGCTAGGTGTGATCTTGATGTGGCTAAAGGTGGGGTTGATTGGGTGTTGAAGAAAAAGAGATTTCTGTCGCTTATGAAATCTATACAGGGGGGACATGAATCAAAAGAAATGCTTTTTAACACTGTAGACTCTACTCATCCAAAGTTACTAGATCGATTGAGGAGACTGGAAGTAATTGTAGATGAAAAGATCAAAGGTGCAAGGTAACCATCTGACCCTGAGCTCTGGTTGTTAATTCTCCCCTTTTGCTCAATACCTGTATTCTCATTACCTGTTTGCTGGATAATGTATGGGTATTGTAGGAGGATGTTAGATGTTAATCATTTCCAGGAAATAAAGGGTTAAAAATATGTGTTGTTTTTGTCTCGGAAGTAGGTTTGGCACAAAATTTTAATATCAATAAATTTTCTTAATCAGTTTTATAAAATTATGCAGACAGTAAGAGAATTATGGCACTTGAAAATTGCATTTTTATTATAAATGTCACTAAATTTAATTTACCATCATGGTAAATAAAAATATTTGAAAGCTGTGTCCTGATTAATGGTTAACATTCAAAGCATATGCTGTTTGAAATTCTCTAAAGCAGCTTAATTCTCCATGATCAATTTTATGATAACAATATCTATCTATTTTATACCTGCATACTCTCACATCTGCAGAGTGAAAACCTCTGTCTCATGCAAGCTCACACTCCTTTACCAATTTCCCATGCTGAAAACTTGAGTTTGTATCTCATGAATTTATTAAAGTGAGCTGGTTAGGTTACCCAAAATTAATTTTTCATGCTTTTTTCGAGAAATCGCTGGTGAGCCTTGCAATCAATCTGATTGGCTCTCATCAGAGCAATTTATTCACAAACTACACCATTTTATGCATTAAATCCTAACTTTTTCCCAACCAATGAGGTAACTTTACACATGAACCAATCAGATTTCAAGGTTTGTTTACAAAAAAAATCCATTCAAATAGGCCATTTTACAGTTGTGTGCGAAGTTGCCAAGCCTTTGATTTGGAGAGAGGTTGAAGGTGACCTTGTTGTAAGAGAGACTAGTACCTCTTTAGCATGATAACAAAGCAATTTTCATTTGAAAAACAGCCAGGTTTGTATCATAACAAGGTCACCCATAGCCTCACTCCTGTTCAAAGGCTTAGCAGCCAAGCATGCAACTGTAAATTGGATTATTGGGAGGAAAGTAGAGACAACTAATGCATCTTTTAACCCAACCAGCTCAATACTGGATCAATCTATTTGAATGACAAAATCCAGTGATTATTACAATAGATGTAGCAAAGTGTGACTGAACTTTGTGTTGTGAAATTTTGGTTTGAAAGTTAGGGAAGGGTGGGTAACCAGTTACTCCAATACTGACTTTTGCTCATCGTTAAGCTCTCCCTAATGTTAACTTGTAGGTGAACAATTTTTTAGTTATTGTGTCAAAAGCTGTTAAGTATATAAAGAAAACAACAAAACTTTTAAGTTTGTAAAACATGTTTTGACAGAAACTAATGTCATCTTCAGTTAATTAAAGTACAAAGCATTGGAAGTTGAATTTATAATAAGCAGAAAAATAAGAATTTTTCCTATCACTATAAATTGAACTTCCAATGCTTTGTACTTTAATTAACTGAAGATGATAGAAGTTTCAGTTTGAAACATGTTTTACAAACTTAAAAGTTTTGTTGTTTTCTTCAAATTCTTGACTTGCCTGCTACTATAACGACCTTTTATTAAGTATATACACTAAACTAAATTTTCACGAAAAGGTGTTGGAGATGTTCATGAAATGGAAATGCATATGCTAATTTTTTGGCATGCGCTGTACATGTTTTTCTTTGTAATTCAGTACATGTTTTAAATTTCTGACAACTTATAAGACTATGAAATCATTTTGTGAAATTTGAAGAGAAAGTGAAATAGAACCATTTTGAAACATACCTATGTTTACATAACAGTGACCTGAACCAGGTTGAGTCCGCAGTTCTCCCAGTGTCACGCGGTTTCTCCCTCAAAAATGTAGTTAAAATATATCAAAATAGCGGCTGTAATGAGGGCCTAAGTTTCTTTGATAATCAGTGTGTTAAGTCTACCAAATGTTCTGAAGAACGTTTTAAAAAAACTTTTATAAACGAAAACATTCACTTTGAAAGACTTTGCTTTAATTTGAAACTTTTATCGTCGGTGTTTCGATCGGCTACGGTCATTGATATTTAAGAGATGCTTGATTTCATTTCTTGAATATCAAGGACCGGAACCAGATCAATTCTTGATGGATGTTTTTTAAAACTGCCCTAGAAATTTGTTTCTTTTCCTGGATTCAGGCATGGTGGTAGTGCACAAGAGGACCTCAAGGCTCATGAAAGGGTGCGTATGTGCATCAAATGTGTTGCTTACAAAGACAGTGTTCCTTTATTTGCATCACCATGTTTTCTGAAGTTAGCTAAACTATATGAAGAAGATCTGTAAGGTGAAATAGGTGAAGAAGTATGTAAATTAGCGCTGGATTACAAGCGGACTGCTGTTCATCTTAATCCAATCGAATTTAGTGTTATTATTGATATCACCAAAAGTGTTGGTTTTTATTATTACTGTATGGAAAACTCTTGGACAGCATTTTATCAGTGCTTCTATTTTGGTTAACTGTTATTTCAGTATTTAGATTAGAGTTAGAAGCACATCTCTGTCAGCTGGATGCACAGCAGCAATATGAGAGTGCATGCTACACATATTTGTTGCCATTGAAGAGATTTGAGTTTTAATATTAATCATCCTTCTTCTGCAGACTAAGATGACACAAGTTTTTCCACTGGGAAATGATATCTTTCCTCAGTCAGCAGTAATCTTCATGATTACATGCGACATTTATATGTCATGTAAATGTCACAACCTTTGACTTGAACCTCAAAATTCACTATTACCAAGATATTTTTCCTGTCAAAAATATATGTAATTGAGGAACATTACAGGAAGCTTTTTTTACAGTGAAAACCTATCTGTAATTTGGCCTTATCCTCAATCACATAATGTTGACAAAAACTTGTAATTGTGAAAGAGCTGCTATTTTTCTATGATATTGTTTGTTGATTTCATGGTTTTCTGTGCATGTGAGACAGGCATGTGTAATCACTTTGTCACTGTGTCCATCCGCTGTTGATGCAATTGTCTTCTCAGGGAAGGCATTTCATTCTACATGAATAAAAAGAAAGAAAACCTTAAGGTTTGGGTCAAAATATTTTATTCTAAAAATTTATGGCAAGCCTTTGATTAATAGTAAGTTACATGTGGGTATGGAAAGAGCTTTCTATTCAACATGACAACAGAGTTCTTACAGATCATTGAAAACCTGGAAAGTTCTGGAATTTTATTTCCCTAGTCTGAAAAGTCATGGATTTTGATCAAGTGGTCATGGAAAGTCATGGAAAGTGACTGAAAATGAATTTTGTAAAAAAACAAAAACAAAAACAAAACAAGAAATTCCTCGAACAAAGTTCTGTAATTGGCACAGTAATTTTGTTTGTTTTTGTTGGGCCATGTCTTGTCCAGAGATATGTCAGGATTTGCTGAGCCTGTTGACAAAAAATCGTGAAGAATTTTAAATTTGTAAATCCACAATTTTGCAAGGACATCACACAAAATCATAAAATTTGTAAATTTTGCAAACACGTTCAATCCTAGACATAAGTGCTTATTCATAGACATCAGGTACTGTGATATATCAACAGTATTTTGACTAGTGCATGGACTGTTTAATTTTTTTTGTTTTATTATTATGTAGTTTAAAGACAGTGTTTACCAGATGAAATCTAGGGAAATCCCCTCTGCTCAGGTGCTCTACAAACTGAGGGTGAAATAGAATTATACTGTATTGTCAATACTTACACATGAATTAATCATAGGACACAGTTTTGCAGACCAAATGAAATTTAATTGAGGAACACAAATAGATCAAAACTCACTATACATACAAGCATTCCACAATCATATGCATTTTTTTGCTTTGGAATATCCCATTTCAAGGAAATAAATTAATTTAAGTATGTTACATTTTACAAATCTTATATAGTTTTGAAAAGGAAGTTACATCCCCCTTAGCTTTAGGTCTTCTGGATATAACTGATGATAATGATATTAATAAAAATAATGATGATGACATTAGTAAGTTGTTAGTACTATGATATTAAGATATCTTAATGATAATGATTATTATAAAAGCTTTATGACATCTTATAATCAGCTTCTACGAACCAGTGGTTTATTGTAATTAACTCTCCTATATAAGTACACATTGTAGAAAAAAACATATATCCATTTTACCCTCTTGTTTGTTGATTGTCTTTCTTCCAGTGCCCTGTTCTTTTCTGGACCATTTTGGCACTCCAAAAGTTTATGGCCAAGGATGATGAAGGGAATCCCATCAAATTCTAGATACACTCCCTTGATTTCCTGCACATCTTTCCAGTAAATGCGATGCCTAAGTTAACTACTTTTTGTTGTCTCTGTGTTCTCTGTAATTACTGTTGCATTTAAATGCCATTTAAATGCAACAGTAATTATATAGTTTACATAGTGAACAGGAAAATACACTCAAACAGTGGAAGAGTCATTTTGCACCAAATGCAGTTTTGTAGCAATTGAAATAGTGCTCAACCAGATAACTGCTTAGAAAACATATCTTTTTTGTGTGTGTGCACTGGGCACACAAAATAAGGAAAAATATGAAAAGATTGCATGTATGGAAACATGACATTGTTTTGACAGGAACTAATTCAAAGTGAATGAAAAACTATTTGGTGTACTATAGCTAAAAAGATAGCAAAATGATTATTGGATATTGAATCTGTTCTTACTTTTAAAATATGTCTTAGAATTCAGAGCAGTTATGCACCTATAATCAGCTATCCGTGGGAGGAACCCTGCTGAAGTTCTTTATTTCCCTCTCCTATGCCAGACATGGGAGAATCAAAGTTAAGAAAATGTCCCTCTAAGAGGGGTAGTGTTCTTAAAAAAGTGAGAAGCTGCATTCAAATTTGTTGCATAAATTAAGTTGGCCTTTACAAATTTTTTTTTTTTTTGGGGGGGAGGGGGGACCCAGCTGAAGTTCTTAATTTCCCTCTCCTATGTCAGACATGGGAGAATCAAAGTTAAGAAAATGTCCCTCTAAGAGGGGTAGTGTTCTTAAAAAAGTGAGAAGCTGCATTCAAATTTGTTGTGCAAATTAAGTTGGCTTTTACAAGAGCCTTGCCATGATGGTTTGAGAAAACAAGGTGGAAAATAGATTTACATAACAATCCCTAAAGGGTCTGATTGTGTTGACCCAATTGAATTAACCCTTTAACTCACAAGATCTCATCAGTAATTCTCCATACTGTCTGCCATGTACCACTTGGGATGTTAGTTTGAAGAATTTGGTATTGGATCAACCAATTATCCCCTAATTAATATTGTACTGATATTGTAAGGAGAAATTCTGTCTTGGTTACTCATGGGAGTTAAAGGGTTCATTTTGAATCATGAGGAGATGGATTAGCCCATGTTTATGTGTACAGTTGTCTTTTTCAGTTATTTAACACAACTTAAAGTGAGTTCTCTCCTCTCTCCCACCTCCAGGGTAAACTATTTATTTAAGTTTCCTTATAAGTTCCCATTAACTTTTGTTTTGCCTTGGGGTTCCCCCCCAGGGGATGGCAGGTTATAAGTGCATTAGCATAGGAACGATCCAAAAATATCTTGCAAATCCTGAAAAAAATTTCAGAATCGACATCTTTTAGATAAATTGAAAACTTTGCCAAATCGAGAGATCAATTTCAAATTCGGTTTAATTCACAGATCCACAAATAACTCTCTGCCGTTTATGTGGAACTTTAAAGAGACCCGAACAGAAAAATGTGTTGCACAGTTCGTCAGATGAGAGATCTGCCTTTGAACATTACTTTGAGAGAGGATTTCGTTATGATACTATTGCTCAGTTTTTAGAAAAAGAAGTGATGAAGGGCCTTCGATTTTACGTTTAAATAACTCCGGAACTTCGTTTTCTGAATGGACTTCATTTCTCCTTCTTAACCCATACTCACGTAACCTTCACTTTAGAGTCCTCAAATTTATAGAAATACCATGGTATTTTTCTAAAAACTGAACAATACATCGACGGCAGAATAGCTCGTTGCTCACAAATTCTTTGCCACATTTGTGGCAGAACATCTCAATACACTTGGTACAGTTTAGTCCGTTTGATTAGTGACTCTAAGTTGACCAAGTGCAACCTATTGCGAAACCATATGCTGCATCCTGTTGACTGCTGGCGCAAGTGTCACGTGACAAAATATTTTTCTGTAATTGTGAAAATTTTCTGGATTTTGGAAAGATTCTTGGATTCTAAACTATTTTCGATTTTCATGAAAGTTATTTGCGAATCTATGAATCAAACCAGGATTTGAAATTGTTTTCTTGTAACTGTAAGTGGTGTAAGTATTGAAGGTACTTACACTGCTTACAATTACATAAACCTGTCCCTTTGGATAAATCACTTTTGACCCAAAAGTGGAGTTGAAGAAGGGTTATAATTAGTATAATTTTTCGGATCAATATCAGTATCTGGGCAATGCTCACCTACCCCTCCCCTAACTCAACAACAGTCCATTGACAACAATTTAAGGTTGATATTGAGTTTGGGGAGGGGTAGGTGGGCAGTTGCCCAGATACTGATACTGATCCAATTTTTCTTTGAAAAGGCTCCATCTTCAGGTAATTTGATTTATTTTTATTGTAAAGAGGGGGTAGGAATATACAATATATAAATAAGCAAATAAGTGAATGACAGCTTGAAAGAAAGAAAACAAAAAGATAATGCTGATGTCAAACTTGCAATAACGGGTCTTACCTACTGGGGAATTTCCAAAACCTTTAGTCTGGTATGCAATAATAGATGAGGTAGTTTTATTGACTCCATACACCTTTATAACTTTAATTGCATCTTCCAAGTTAGTAACGTAACCAGAATACTCAGGAAAGTTCACGGAGTAGAGTTGACTCCATGAAGGACACGATTTTACCGCCATTTTCTTCAAATTTGGCATTTATCTTTGTTTGCAGCATCCGTAGACCAAAACGACCGCCGTAAAAACCCACCCCTCCCCTCCACGATCATCAAGACATGACCTAGTTGCGGTCCTTGTTATTTATGAAATGAAACTGTGGATCTCTTAAATAACAGCGATCGTAGCCGAAACAAGAGAGAACAAGACTTCACCCAATTTAAGCTAAATATTTTATTTCAAGAAAATTCTTCCTGCGCCGATTTACCCGGTACTACCTATTGAAAGGCTCTTCAGAACATTTTCAAGAAGAATTACGGCAATCTTCGTGGATAAAACCAGATCGAAGTGCGCAACACATCCACTGCCATTTTGATGTGCATTAGGGGTGTTTTCTGGGAAAAACCGCGTGACACTGGTTCAGGTCATTGTTATAACCCTTACCTCTCTCAAACATTCCCACTCCCTCAAGAACTTTAAGAATCCTCTAAAAGAACGTCGGCATAATAATTTTATTAATGATCTTAACTTTCTCAAAGAAACATGTATGGTATCCCACAAGAATCAAGATTTTAAATATTTTTAGTATTGTAATTTTTATTCCCATAAGAATCAAGATTGTAAAGATCTTCAGTATTGTTATTTTGAAAAAAATTTTATAATAGTACACCTAGATAGCTTTAGCTGAATAGTCCATAGTTTAGTCCGTAGGCCCTTAATTTAAGAATCAAGATTTTAAATATTTTTAGCATGTAATTTTGATTCGATTTATTAATAGTATACTTAGATAGTTTTAGCTAAATTCCGTAGACAGTAGGTCCACATCAGCCTCTGGCTGCCTTTAATTTAACCCACTACACCAAATAAAGTATGCATGTAGGTCTTGCAGTTGCGTGCTTAATTGCCAAGCCTTTAAACGGTAGTGGGGCTGCGCATGCACGAAAGCTTGAGAACAATTAGATGGATTTCCGAACGTGTGTCTAGCGAAAAGCGAGGAAGAAGAGGTTTAATTCCTAACCATTCCAATGCGTAACACAAATTAAAGAGGGATTTTGAAGAAAGATTAAACCTTGGTCTTATTTGATTGTGAGATATCCGAACTGTTTTTAACGCGGACGTTTCGTTTCGGTGACGAAAGCAAATGACAAAACCTTTCTTCTTCCCTTGCTGCAAATCTACCGTTCGCTGTAAACAAAGACCTGCTGTCGTCATAAATATCTTGTGTGGCTCTGGTTCTTCCTTTCTTCACACATTTCCCTCGGTTTTCACCAGCACTGACTCCATCAAGAGCACAACTAAGAATAACTACAACCAGCTTGGCCAAGTTTACGGACGACTTCATTACGCCGCCGTGCAAAGTGTAAAAAAAAAGTACGAGAATGTAAACTAACTCAAAGTGGGTAAATTCGAGAACAACAATTTGTATAAATCTCGGCCTTAGAAACGTCGAACTTTGATTAGAAACTGCGAAAAAATACGTGTCACTCATATTATTCATGTTTACAATAACAAATTATCCATCTTGCTGGTAGTTACGAAAAGGAAGACCCCCCTACGAAAACGAAGACCCATTACAAAAATGAAGACACATTACTTGCAAAACTTGCAAATTGATCCATTAGTGGGCTGCCTTCCCACAAAAACGGGAAGCTTTTGGGCAACTGTTTGGGCCACGCACGCCACGTGGATAAAACCGCGTGCATCGTAAATTTGAAGACGGCACTTCAAAGCTTCTCACTGCTACTTCATTATCAACAGTATCATTCATGAAATGTCACTCAAATGAGTTTCCGGAAACAATAAATACAAAGCCTTTTATACAAGTTTTGTCTTGTGTGTTTTGCTGCTGGTAAAAATGTCATCGCATTCTTTGATTCGCTTAATATATTTGCTTTACGTTAAAAAAAGAGCTAAGGAAAACACAATTAAAATCAAACCAATACAGTTATCCTATTTCAGTTGATGGAATATATGAATTCCATATATCATCTCCTTGACAGTTATCTTATGTAATGTTATCTTTACTTCTAGCGCTTAAAGCGTCACGCAACGTATCTTCCATATGCAAGTCGTGTCTTTTCTGTTAAATCTCGTTTTAGCTTAAAAGCAGTCCCAGGCTCCATGAAGGCTCCTTGGGGCTCTACTGTTGAAATATTCCGTAATAAATTACAGAGGTACCAAATTCAGAATTCAAGATTTCCGTAAGGATCTTCATTTTCGTAGTGTGTCTCATAAACACAATCTTTGTCCTCAAAGGTAATACCAACCTCTTTTGAACTTGTTTTAGTAATGTGTCTTCGTTTTAGTAATGGTCTTCGTTTTCGTGATGTGTCTTCGTTTTCGTGATGGGTCTTCGTTTTCGTAGGGGGTCTTCGTTTTCGTAGGGGGTCTTCGTTTTCGTAGGGGGTCTTCGTTTTCGTGATGGGTCTTCGTTTTCGTGATGGGTCTTCGTTTTCGTAGGGGGTCTTCGTTTTCGTAGGGGGTCTTCATTTTCGTGATGTGTCTTCGTTTTCGTGATGGGTCTTCGTTTTCGTAGGGGGTCTTCGTTTTCGAAATGGGTTTTCGTTTTCGTAGGGGGTCTTCGTTTTCGTAGGGGGTCTTAGGTCTTCGTTTTCGGGGTCTTCGTTTTCGTAACTACCCCATCATGATTCCTCATGGGGACTCAGAATCTTTTTCTTTATCCCACGCTCGTGACAAGGCGAAAAACATCTTTCTCTTTTTCTTTACCGAGCTCAAAACTTAACGTCTCTCTTATTGTATAAAAATTAATAAATTATTATTGTTTCCAATGTAAATTATAATGCTAATTAGACACTGGTCTGTATCTCGTACACCGTACGTCAGGGTCACCTTCAGCCTTACTCCAAATTAAAGGCCTGGCAACTAAGCATACAACTTTATATAAGTATTATGAGCGCAGTTGCGTGTTGACTTATAAAACGTTAACAAAGAAACGTAACAATGGCTCAACAGGAAATTTTTGAAGTTATGGCACCAGTTTCTGTAGAAAAAATCTATGGGAACGAGGGAGTAGGAGCGCACCAAGACGTAAATGTGTGGAGGGCTCAAATAGATTCCATCCCTCAAGGTGTTTATATGATCGGGGATGTTGCATTCGGAGCACATACGTCTTCCTTTCCTCTACACGCTGTGGTTCTGGTGAAGCCCTTGTTCGAGTACGACCATCTTGGCGACATTATCAAAGCTCCGTGTTCCTACGAGGAAATTTGGACCGGCAAGAGGTCCAGGGGTCGACAGGATGGCTCCTTTTGGCGAGTGCATGCTCCTCCAGGCTATGTAGCCTTAGGTGATGTGGCATGCAATAACTGGTCTCAGCCGACCCCTGAATTTACCTCCAAGTATGCCTGCATCCGACAAGATTTGCTTTCTGCCCATGCTGAGCTGTCTTCTCCCGCTTTGTGGACCGATAGGGGCTCCGGAGCAGAGCGAGATGTTTCTCTATGGACAGTGCGAGGCTTTTACCAGCCGACTGGATGTTTTAAAGCCCATAAAGGTTACCAGAAACCAAATTTGGAAGTATTCACTCTACCAGTCGCCAAGATATACAGGAAGGAGTGCTCCAATAATCTGAATAACTAACTTTTATATCGATGAAGGTAGTGCAACTTAAGAACTAACTGCAATCGCTTTTTAAAAGAATAACAAAACTTGTTCATCGCCGGTTAAAGAACCTTGGATAGCACTAGGTAGGACAAACAGGACACTCTTAAATTTGCTTAGGAACACTTAACTTCGATTACTTGGACTTTGGAATTTGCGGGTAACTCGCTATATCAGCAAGAAATATTTAGCGTACGTCATTTTGGATATGCAGTTCCATAGATTTTTCTCAGTTGTGTATGAGCATTATAGTATCGATCACAAAGTCTTTTTTATATTGAATTTGAAGCTGAATTTTGGCTACTCAGAATGAATCATTACGACTTGGCGGGGGTAATGTAAGCTAAAACCTTTGTAGTGTTCACTGAGGTATCAATAAACCAAACACTGATCAATTTCTGTATAAGACTAGACTGTCATCATTTCTTTTATGGCTCAACTATGCGTCTTAACCGAAAGCTACCCAAAAGCAAGACTCTTTCTTTGTTAAGATCGACTCTCGCGTTTCCCTCGAGACACAAAAATCATAGTGACAACGCATTTCCGGTATTTCTCGGAATTCTCAGTCATTTCTGCTCCTTTTAGTATGGTTTTCAACTTCATCAATTGCTGATATGTCTTTTTTCGGTCGAGTTAAATCATGTTCGGTTTTTTTCTCACGAGAAGATCTAAACCAAGGGAATTTAATTTTTATGGTTACTGCCTCCTAAAGAGGCGAAGCCATAATGTTGTCCTGTTGAGTGAGTGAGTGTTATAATGGAATACGAACGACCTCTTCGTTGACAACGAAGTCGGCCGAGTTTTACTGGATATTCCTCGCTCTTGGCTTTTGTTTGTTTCGGAAAATCTTCGGTCGTTCAACGCCTAGTAACGATTTCTTCGAACCGCTTCGAATGTTACGCGGAATATTAGCAGGTGACCACACTGTTTTTCGGTGCTACTTATTGTTTGTCTCGCACTGTACGACAGAAGACGATCAAAATTTCGCAATCATTTCAGAATGGCGCGTGAAAAAAAAAGCTGTACCTTGCAGAAATGTCTCAAAAGAAGTGATCGGCGCATCATGAAAATTTAAGGGGAAATCTTTTCTTTACATAGAGATAATTTTATCGTTTAAATCAGCGAATTATTCCCAGTAGATCCGAAGATATAATTTTTTCAGTTCTAACCGCAACACTACAATAGATGATAAACATCTCAAAGTAATTTCACAGTAGCGTCTCTGACACGTAATTGAAAAAATATATTTTTCTCCTTGCAGAAATATCTAAATAGGTTTGATCTGCACATTGTAGAAACTTGAAGGAAAATTTTTTTTTATTCGAAAATAAATAATTTTACCATTTCAATCAGTGACAAATGCTTAAAAGAGCCGCTAAATTTGCGAAGCGAACAAGGACGTTGACTTCAACAGGGTGAGGCCATTCGATGGAGGCCGGAGTAGGCTTGCAACCGGGCTTAGGAGCCTGGGGCTGAATTTTTAGACTAGTTTTCAGATCTCCTGATTATGACAACTCAAGATGGCGGCTCGCACGTTGAGTATGGACAAGATACTGAGATCTCTTGTTGGTGTAGGAATCGGAGGACTGATTATTGTCAGGGGCTCAGCTGAGTTATTTCCGCATCTTTATAAGCAAATCTATGGCCTTAAAGATGAAAAAGGTGCGTTTATCGCAGTACCCGATCGTTGTCGAGAACAACTGGATGTGGTCGCCGAAAGATATGGTGTTAAAAATGTGAACAATGTTAACTTGTTTATCTATCGAGGTTTCCATGGTATTTCACTTGGATCATCTTTACTTCCCGCTGGAGCTGTAATAGGTTTACCAAGGTGGTATTTGTTTCAGAGTGAAGAAGATATTCGTAACTCCGGCCTTAAATTCGGAAAAACAGTTGGTTGGGACTCTGAATTTGGTAAGGCAGTGTCTGAAACATTCCTTCCAACAGACGACATGATAGCATTTACAATTGGCCACGAGCTCGCTCATACGGAGGAACATTTTCACTTAAAGTTGTATCACACGTTTGCACCCCCAACGTGGCTGTATATTACGTACAGAATTTCTAATTCGACGTCGAAAATTTTTAAACATCGATTTGATTTGCAAGCTCTTTTTTACCTTGGCATCATTGGAGTAAGCCTATTTACTTACACGCGCGTTTACCAAAAGTTGCGCCACTTCGCAGAATTTGATGCAGACGAAGTATCTGCTAAATGTGATCCTCGAATGGCACGAGGTGGCGTTGATTTTTTTGCAATGACATTGAAACGAAACTTGATGCAAAGAGCATTGCTTGGAAAGGAAGGAGAGAAAAGTTTCACAGAAGAAGGGAATTTTATAGCACGTTCTTTAATATCAACGCATCCACCCTTCACTGATAGACTTGATAGAGTGAAAAATATTCTAGAGTCATCCCCAAAGTAGTGTTTGTCAAGTGACATTTCAGGCCTGTAGACAGATTTTTATGAAGGGGGAGGGAGGTATTTGAGGGCTGAAGACTTGAATTGACAATTGCAGAATGCACAAGATTCATGGAGGGTTGGGGGGTAGGTTCTCCCTGCAAAATTTTGAAAAATTGGGTTGTCTAAGACTGCATTTTAAAAGGATGTTACTTCAAAGAAAATTTCTAGGTCAAAAATTAATCTCTGAGTAATGTGTCAAGCTCAAACCTCTTTGAATGCTTCTTACTTTCTTTTGATTCATCAATATTTAGTAGATGGACTTTTGTGGCCTGTGTGGGAATGTGTATACACCTGTCGTCCCTGCCCATAGGCCTGCATTTGGATGAAAATATTGAATTTTTTTACCTTGTGTAGCTTGAGTGACTTGTTCAAGTGGAAGCAGAGTGATGGCAGCTGAGAGAAAGAGGAGTAGGAATAACTTTTGGCTTCTCAGTAAGGAGTCATCTTTGAGATTAGAGTCGCCTACCCAAGCTAGACATTTGACTTTACTTGAGATGTCATTATCAGTGTTGTAATAATTTTAAGAAAAAGGGTTCATGTCATGGATTTTAACTGATGTGTTGTGCCCTTATCAAGACACTCTCAAGATCCGCTTATGTTGTTAAGGGTGTTAAGTAACAGGTTCACATACATTTTCTACAGTCAATATTATTGTAATGGCTATCAGGTTTCAATCACCCTTTTAACATTTAAATTGTAAGTTTTAGTTATTATTTATAATTTCTGTCAATTTGTATTGTTAATCAGGGCTACACATGACAGAAATTTAAAAATTTTTTTTTTGCCTCTAAGTACTCACCCCTTTCCTCTTCTGTTGATTTTATAAACCTAACACACTCTTCTAGCATTACTGACTTTTTACTAGAGAAAAATCCCAAATTGCATCTCCTGTGATGATCTGAGAATTTTAAGCACAGTATTGGATTAAACCAAAACTTGAAAACCAAATACAGTGTGCATGTAACTCTTTCACTTCCAAGATCTCATTAGTAAATCTCCTTACTGCCTTGCAAACAATTCTTATGATGCTAGCTCTGAGAATTTGGTATTAGATGAAGTGATAGTCCCCCCTTATTGATATTATCCTTTCTTGTCATCACTTGTCTGCTTGATACTGTATTGATTTTGTGAGGAGAAATTATTTCTTGGCTGGTCACTTAAAAGAGTTAAAAAAGGTTTTTAGGGCCTTGCAAGCTAAAGTTGTTCAGTGCAGTTGACATGTCTCTCTCTTGATTTTGAAAACATCATAATATTCTATGAATAAGGGGAGAAGGGGTTGGGGAATTGACAAGAAAAGATATGGGTCCCAGGGGTAGGGTTTGCTTCAGCTTAGCACTGAATGAGGTGGGGAGGGAGGTGGTTTGTTGGAGGAAACAAGCATTTTTAAAATTCTTGTAAGTTTTGGTGACAAAGATTTTTTAAAAAAAATTTGCACTGGATTTAATAATTAATTTTGTTAATTAACTCTTTAACTCCCATGAGTGATCAAGACTGAGTTTCTCCTTATAATATCAATACAGTATCAACCAGATAAGTGTTGAGAAAAAAGAAAAATATCAATTTGGAGATAGTTAGTTGATCCAATATTAAATTCTCTGAACTAAAATTATAAGAATTGTATGATTGATGGTAAGGAGAATTGCATATTTTATCTGGGAGTGAAAGGGTTAAGTACTGAAAGGTGGTCTTTTGTGCCGCAATGGTTACTGCAGACAACAAGCCTGTTTTCTTTATGTGTCTTTGAGCAATGAAAGACATGGAATTTGGGTAAAAATCATTAAAAATATAAAGCAAACTCATGGAAAAAGCTTGTTGCATTTAGCTCTTTGCCTAACATCAGTATGAAAACTCTCCATGGTATTCTCTTTAAATTTCCTGAATTGCTGACAAAGAGGATCTATTGAACAATCATGGCCTTCTTTACCTGGTAATCATGATAATTTTCCTTATTCTTCTGATCTTTCTTAATGTTTGATTCAGGGGTCATTCTGTAAGGAAAAATTAGATGTTGGCCACTATTAGGAACTGAGAATTTTTTTTACCCACCCCACCCTAGTTACAAGCTCTCACCGCGAAATGGACTGGAGTGAGTAGGAGTAGTCGCCATATTGGATTATCAACACGTGCAGAACTATTTTACTAATATTAGCAAGCATGGCGAGTTTTGGACATGTTATGGAACTTGTAGGAAAGGTTGCGAACCGATTCATTGTCATATCCGTAGGATTTGGTATCGGTGGACTTTTTATTTACAAAAACGCGGCCGAGGCCTTCCCGAATCAAGTGTGCAAACCTATCGTTGGCCTGAAGGACGAAGATGGCAGCCTTTTGAAAGTCCCTGAGCGAATAAGAACACAGTTCGATGTAGTGTTGAATAAGCTTGGTTACACGAATGCCAACAAGATAAGCTTGTTCATAAATCAGGGTGTACATCCGATGTCGGTGGGTTCAACTTCCTTTCCAAACGGAGCTGTTGTAAGCTTGCCAAAATGGTACATTTTTGAGAATTACAAAGACATAGAAACGTGTGGAATTACGTTTCAAGGAAGGGACATCAGATGGGATTCTGAACTGGGTATAAAGATCAAAGAATGTTTGCTGCCTAGTGATGAAATGATAGCTTTTTGCATCGCGCACGAGGTTGCTCAAACGCAGCGATTGGATTACAAGGCTATCAATGCCGTCCTTGCACCAACGTGGTTGTACTTGACATATAAGCTCGCCTACATTGGCCCAAGGATGTTGCAGCTTCACACAGTGCTGGATATACTCTTTAAGCTTGTCCTTTGTCGTTTGAGCTATCTTTGCTACAAACAAGTGCACATGAAACTATATCATGATGTAGTTTACCAGGCTGATGTTATGGCTGCAAAGTGTGAGCCTAGAATGCTTCAAGGTGGGATAGATGTATTCACTAAGAAGATAGAGTTGAACCGCATTCGACGCAGACTGATGGGGAGGAAAGGACAGAACTGTTTTACAGAGGAAGGGAATGACATTGAATCTCGCATATACCCTCTATTGACTGACAGGCTTAAGCGATTGAAGGACTTAGAAAGAGGTACTGCTCTTGTAACAGGGGTATGAGTAGAGTTTTCTTGTTGAGGTTCCAATGCCAGCACTCTTGTCAAATTGGGGTGTGTTGGGTTTTATCTCTCTCCTCTGTAAAGACTTTGCTGAAGAGATTTCCTTTCATATCTTTGCTTCTTTCAGCAGATATGATTAGGTCTTTCCTGAAGGGGAAGAATTTTTTGTTGGCAATCATTGCTTACTTCCAATATTCATAAATAGGGGGCCCCCATCTCCAGAACTTCATGAGAATTCTTACTCATTAGCTTGACTCTTCTGTGTTGAAAATTTTACTGGTTACTATCTTAAATGCAGAATGCTATACATGCACACATGGAAGAAAACACACCTTAATCATGTTTTATTTCATTGTTGCAAAAATTTTGACACTACAATAATCACAGATGCTAATGATAAAACAGTAACAGTAACAGTACAGATATATGCAGAAAGCACTCTTTCTTAATTTATTTGACTTAGGGTTCTTTATTGGCCCTATGAGATCTTTTTTCTATTCTCAGTAGCTGTTGTGATTGCTTTGGTTGGGGTTTTAAGTGGAGGGGGACAGGGGGGCAGGAGCTTGGGAGAGCAGGGGACAGGAGAGGGTGGGAAGTGGGAGAACAAGGGACAGGAAGCTTAAAGCCAGGTTTCTGATCCTCTTGATTAACCTGAAGGAGCAACACAATAAAGGGTGGTAGCCGGGAGGCAAAGGGGCACAAAAGTATGTGAGGTGGGAGAACATGGTACTGGAAGTGGGAGACTCTGACTCCCCTGTCCTGTCCTCCCCCCACCCCCTTTTTTAAGACACTTGTTCAAAAAACCACATTATCATTATGGATGGAATTGGCCTTTTCTCAGCCTTATCAATGTTATAATCAAAGGAACTAATTCTTGTTTACTTTCCTCTCTGTTTTAGAGGTTACAAGTTTTTCAAATGGTGATCAAGCTGAACATAGTGAAAGCAGCTGACAAACACAAGCATCCTCCACATTCTTGTCCTTCGGCAGTGATTTGGTGTTTAGTCCCAGCAAATCTTGTTACCTTTGACCCTTTAACCCCTAAGGGTGACCAGCATCTAATTTCTCCTTACTGTAATATTGCTGAATTAAAAATTAAGATCATGAGAAATAGAAAAAGATCACCAAGCTAAGAGGCTGTGATTGTGAATTTAATTCTCCTTGTCAGTCGCAAAGGAAATGTATAGAAAGGAGTGTAAATAAATAAAAACAAAAAAATTGAATGGTTAGGAGACCAATAATGTTATGGCTCATGATCCTTTAGAAATACTATTCTGAAACAAACAATAAGACCGGGTAGTTTAGTGTTATCAACTGAGTTGAAAATGTAAATTGGCCACCATAAAGAGTTTAAAGCTGACGCTTTGATCACTCTGACAAAGGGATAATGCTCTAAACATCAGCTTTTATGCTCTTTATGGTGGTCAATTTATGCGATCAACTCTGTTGATAATACTAAATTACCCTGTTGTACTCTCCCACTGATGCAGCACCACAGCTTCTAAATAAACTTACCCCCCTTTTATTCATTTGATAATAAGACCATTGAAGAACATAATGAGCAGATCTATGTATGTATATTTACTTAACTGACCACTGCCCCAATGAGGCTTTTCAGGGCCAATACAAGCAAATTGGGAACAAAAAATGCAACTAAATAAAATTTTTTTAAATCTCAACTGACAGGTGTCAGGCCAGTTGGCTAGAGACAGAGCGCAGTAAAGGATTTGAACTTGGGACAACTGAGAACAAATCCAGTGAGAGGGAAGATAAAGGGCTTGAACCCAGGACCCCCAGATTACAAACCTAGTGCCCAAGCTTCTTAACTGCACTGTCTCCAGATGGAAAACAAAGAATCCTCACAATTGACTTGTTCACAACATGTGCCTTTGAAGCTTTGTTGGTTATAGTGCCCTCTTGGTATATGGGAGGGGACATGTGGGTTGGATTCTTAAAGGCTAATGTTTTGTTTAGACAGTCTTTTTCTGCAATGACTTAGATTGTGAAGATAGATTTGTCTCTTGAGTGATGCCTTGCAAAGTCTTTGCAAATATTTAAAGGAGGATAGGTATTATAATAATAATAATAATAATAGTAATAATAATAATAAGCTTTATTTCAACTGATAAGACTAATCAGCAATCTAATAGATTGGCTGGTATGAACTAGTGATCAGCATGATAAATAGTATCAATCAAAATCAAAGGACAAACCCTATAAAGAACTGAAGTATGAATTAAAATAACATAAAATATATAGAAAAGCTAATACTTATTTTAAACTACATAAATGATTAGATTTATCGTGTTCTAAAAAATATTCAAAAACTATCGCCTTAAATTTAGATAAAGACTGTATCTCTCGAATGTCCATTGGTAAAAGATTCCACTCCCTAGCAGCAGTACATTTAAATGACGTTTGACCCATTTTGGTCTTTGTAGCAACAATGTTCAATAAGGTAGAGTCTCTAAAATCTCTGATATGAAAGGCTGATCTCTTAAGGAGATAGTTCTCTAATTGCTGTGGGCAATTTATATTATGTATAATCTTAAAAACAAGATTAAGTCTCAGGAATCTACGTCTACTCTCCAATGATAATAAGGAAAGCTTACTACGCATTTCATTTTGTAGAGAGGATAGTACGCATGGCCTGATTTTGTAACCTTTCTAAACGCTGTGAGTTGTTCTTTCCACAGTCCCCCCATACGATACAGCCATAGTCTACTATGGGTAATTTCGTTTGTTTATTGTTTATATATATCGCCAAAATGTCTTTTTCCTAGAACTGCAAACTCATGGCCATGTGATGCCTTGTTTCTCGAATAGTACATGGGTTCTGTTAGGGAAAGATAATATCATAGTCACTCGCCCATCTTTTTGTAAGAGATTTCCCCACCCTCCACAAACCCTCCCCTTTTTGTACATTACATTACGTTCCTCTACTGGCTTTGCTCCTTAAGAGGTCAGAGGTGACTGAAATTTTGCTGCCTTTGATTAAAAAGTCTATTTTATTAATTACAACGTCGTCATCTTACGGTTTCATATATGTCCAATTCACCCAAACCGTTGCGATTCGTCTACGGTCGTTGACGAATCGTCACACCGGATGTCGAATCGTGCGTTGACATACCGGAAGTCGAGGGGCGCGCGCACGTGAGCATATATGTCCAGTACACCCAAACCGTTGCGATTCGTCCGCGGTCGTTGATGAATAGTCACACCGGATGTCGAATCGTGCGTTAATATACTGGAAGTCGAGAGGCGTAAGCAATATTTGAAATTACCATGGTATGCCAGAAATCGAATCGGGCGTTCACATACCGGAAGTCGAGGGGCGCGCACGTGCACGTGAGCAATGAGTAGCATGGTACGAGGACATGACAACATGAACCTTCCACGTTCTTAAAGCGTGAAACGACCGGAAGTCTATCGTCAGAATATTATACACTATACAGCGTAGCAAATGTTGACGATTCGACACGGTTGGACTCGAATCGAACGACTCGTCACAGCAAATGACGATCCGTCATACCGGATGTCGATTTGCGGTGTCTTGCAAATCGACATCCGGTATGACGGGCCGTCATTTTTTTGTTACGAGTCGTTCGATTGGAGTCGAATCGTGTCGATTTGACAACATCTGCAACCCCCTATCGCAGACACTTTCGGAATATATTCTTTTCTCTTGCAAACTGATTTCCGGTATGCGTTTCCGCGTCATCAGAGATGGTTTCTCAGAACTCCGACATCACAACACCTCTAAGCCGCGAATCGACTTCCGGTTTGACGATTCGTCAACTGCCTTTGACGATTCGCAGCGGTTTGGGTGTATTGGACAACCCTCCAAACTACGGTCATGAGAATATAAGAAGTGATCTCCAGATAAAGAAGCCCTTGTCACCGCCCTATGAAATGTATGAAGAACAGGAGGAAGTGCAAATTGGTGTGAGGGTGTAACGGTGTTGGAAACCTAGAAAAGGATATCTCGCTAAAATGGACTCTTTTCGACATAGTAAGTGGCCAGACAACAAGCGATGTTCTGTGGAAGTAAGGTGAGGTATTTTATTGAGAATTCGACTGTATTTTTTTATTCGCAGGAGCGGTCGTAAATATTCTCATACAAACTCTTATAATTTCGCCATGACTCCTATTTCGCAAGATGGTCATCTCACAGCTGGAACTTTGGCCCCGTGTGAGCTGTCACACAAACTTGAGCGATCTCAGATTAATTTTTTAAACTAGATTGAAAATCGCTCCAAACAGTCGGCGTGCTGGGTACCATCATTCACATTTACGGAGACTAACTAAGTTTCCCTTTTCCGAAAACAGCTACAGTTCAAGTTATAACATAAACAGTTGGATTGACGTTGGTTAAAAGGCAATTTTACCCTATAAACCTATTTATATGGTCACAATGAAGCCTTCCGATTCAGTTATACTATTGGTTTGAGAGGATTTGATGCTGAACCTCTTCTATTCTTATGGTCCGTTAAGCGGGATGAATTTTGTATCAGTCCCTCACAGATTGGAAATGTCGGAGAGAACCCTGCGAGATATCAACCGAGTTTTCTTGTCCATTTCCCTCTGACAAACTTTAGGTTGTTCCCTGTGTGCGCGCGGTCTTTTAAGCTCAACATTGTTTGCTGGGCCGCGGTGTTCAGAAAGGTAAAATTCGAGCACGGTGATCGATATACTAGTTACCAGGCCTACTCGCCCTTTCGTGTACTCTCAGATCAAATATTCCACAAAAACAGACTAGAAAAGTGAGTCTTGTGAGGCAAAATCTAAAAAAACGGAGTATCTCGAGCTCTGCCTTTTCGACAGAGCTGCATCTCCTGAGAGGCTCTCGTTTGGCCCTTTTATTTCCAAGATATCAAAACAAACTCTCCTTACACAATCTTCCACACATTCTTTATTACTTTAGCTCTGAGAAATTTTATGATAAATCAAGCAGTGTTCACTCGTTGATCTTTTGCTTTCTTCTCCAACCTATGTGCATGACAACGTGTTGATGTTGTAAGTAGAAATTACTCAATGTAAGTCTTGGGAGAGAAAGGATTGATGAAGACGAGTGGGAAGACAGGCGCGCGAAAAAATGGTGGAATTGGAGCTTGCGCAAGGCGGTTGTATTTGTTTTGCTTTCCATTTTCGTGCGTCCAATTTTTCCTCAAAACTCGTAAGAAGAGATCTGAATTGCCTTGAGATTCCAACGGTGTTGAAATAACATTGCTCAGCATGCAATGAGCTTTTTTCCCCAAGTGGTCAACCACAACAACATGATATTGAAGGGCCCTCAAGACAAAGATGACAAAGCGATTAGTCATAGCTACTTTAAAAAAAAAAAAAAAAAATCATATTGATTCCATGCACACTCCTGGTCGTGTGCAGTATAAAGCTTACGTAACATTGAACATTACAGGACGAGGTCAAAGGGCTGATTTTTTTGTCGAATGACAAAGTAATTTCCCGCTCACATGACTTTACGAGATCTTTCGAAAATTCAATAAATCAAACAGAGGATGTCTTTTGTCAAACTTCATTGAGTATTGCTATTGTCATTTAATAGGTGTGACACAGATCCCTGCATCGACCAATCAAAAGTGAACCACTTACCAACTAAAGGGAGTGTAGCAGGTTAAAGTTCGCAGCTAAAGTTCTCGAGTAGGCGAGTGGCAACTTCCCGTTTTCAAGGGGATCTTCTACTGCAGCTTTGAAGAACACAGGCTAAAGAAAAGCATTGCTACTCAAAAGCGTCTCAAAAAAAGGTACTTTAAACTGGTTGTTGCCATGTTTAGGGTTATAGGAATGAATACGCTTAGTGTGAACGCAAATTGCTTTGGTGTTCATTAGTTTTTGCTCTAAAGAAAGAAAGGTTGATGAATTTAAATTTTGTCTGAGGCGAGGGAATCGTTCTATTCTTAATTTCCTAATTTATTAGAATAACCTCCTTTAAACACTGCAATTCTTTTCTGGTGTCTAATTTCTAACACAAGTTTATTACAAACCACTGCGCACAGCTCATTTGTTTGGGCTTAGAGCTAACACTGACTTGGTTACCGTTCAAATCACTGATTTCGAGATGCTTGTTTCGCCATTTGCTTCAATTTAGAAGTTTACTTTTTCAGATTTATAGCTATCCCAATCTCTTTAAAATTTTAAAACTTGAGCAGTTCTAGAAGTTTTATCTTTA